ACTGAAGCATAACTGGATGTAAAGAACTAGAATTTATCTCTAAGTGAATAACTGAGAAGCATGGAACTATGGTAATGGAGGAAGAGTGATTGGGGTATGTTAATTAGGGATCCTGATGCTGCCTAATTTCTTGACAGTTTTAGGGATAACTCAATCTAGGTGGTTCTACCTTTAACCTAATTGTGTTTATGCAAATTCTATTACTTTGTCTTGAAACTCCTCCCAATAATTATAACACAAGACACTTACAGCTATAGCTAGACTTTAGTGGACATAAGAAGTACCTATGGGAACATTTTCCTCAGGTTTTACCTTTTAATTTGTTGAAGTCTTTTTTAAAAGACCTCAAATTGAGTTAAACCACACTCATACAACATATGTCTAGGATAGCATTTAACACAGTGTTTCATCATTGTTGGTTCCTTGTCTGTCCCCTACTGCCCTTCAGGACATCTCTGTTCTTCCAGTGTCTGCCATATGGTAGATGTATTGTACATATTATAATCAAAGCTCCTCTTGGCTCTTTGGAATATTGAGGATGCTAGACTTAGACAAATGCTGTAGTGGCAGCTCTTCACTCCTGTATTCTGAGAGTTTTCACGTGGTTTTAAGTATAGAGTACTTATTTTCACAAAAAGCAATTAGTTTTGAATTATTAAAGGGACAAAAAAGAGTAATAAATAAGGCACCCTAGCTATACATCATGTATTTTTCTCTCTTAAGTATGTGACTTGTGTAATTTCCTTATCTGTAATTATGTCTACCTAATACATACAGTAGCCTTCTAATGGTCTTTCCCTTTTCTAATTACTCTTATGCTAGCACCCTGTCCTTTGAATACTAACAAAATACTATTTTTTTCCCTACCCCTTTCATTTCTATGTTTAAGAATCCAGTTGCCTTGGGCGGAAGGGAGGGTTTGGAAGGGCTTGGCTTTCTAGTTCTATATGACCTGATCCTGCCTTAGTCCTTGACCTTTAAATCTCACTCTTCACCTGTTTATCTGAGTCATTCTCATGACAGTCACAAAAACATAGACCTTCTTCTTTGCTCTTTGTAATTTGCCCTACCTGGAATCTATTTATTCAGATTGCTAAACCCTAATCTAAGCCTAGCCTTCTCAGTAAATATCATCTCACCGTGAGGAAATTGAATAGTAAACAAAAATATCTCCCAAGAGGAAGGTTTTAGGGAAAATATGCTTGAATAATTAACTTGTAGAAATTTTAGTGGAAATAATACTAGATCCTCCCTTCCCCCAACTGATGGACCACCAATCAGCACCTGCCAAATAGCCTAAAACCCTGATTCCTAAGTCCTGAAGTGCCTAATCATGTGCCTTATATGAAACCACCAATCAGTGTGTGCCAAGTACCCTAAGTCCCATCCGTTCCCTTCCCTCCCCTCAACAGACACCTTCACCCCTGCACATGTGCTTTCTTCCTTTGGGAGACGGCCCGGCAGGGTTCAGCCTGTGTCCTGGTCTCCGGCCCTCTGTCTCATCTTTCAAATAATATTGTTTCATACTAAAGCATACTAAGTGGATGTTTTTATTATGTGTAGTGGAGCTTATTATATATATTACAAGTTTTAAACTGTGATAATTTAAGCATGGTTGTTCACTATTATCTATGAAATGAAACCTATCAGCATATAAGAAATGGCTGAATTACTCCATTACTATTTTTACTTCATGGGTAAAATAAATGTAAATTAGTTTAAATTATTAAAGTCAGTATTACTATCATTTATTTTTATGTAATAAACATGACTTTGAAATAATAATTAGGCTAACTAAACCTCATTAGCTTAACTCTCCCTCATTTTTTTTTTTTTTTTTTTCAGTTAGATGTTTGCCAGAGATCTTTCAGTCTATCTTCAGGACAGAATCCACACTCTCCCTCTGAGAACCTGCCCCCAAGGACAGTATGGCAGGAGGGGAGAGTGGGAAGAGAGGTCAGAGAGGTCATTGAAGGCCAGGATTACGCAAGCACTTGTCAATCTGCTAGCAGTTTTAGATTTTAGTCTGTATTCAGTATGTCTGTATCTTGGGGGAAGCAAACCTTTTCATTTGTGTTAAGATACATTTATTCTTCCAGGACATAAATATAATGGATCAGGGAATTTAAGATTAACCGTAATATACTCTCCCAAAGTACCTAATCTAATATAGTCACAGAATAATAGTATCTGTTCTAGTATAATTATAGTTTTCTTAGGACTGTTTCCACATCATTAAGGAAAAAATCATATTAGAAGCTGTTTAAATCCGAGTTATTTTAAAAACAAAATTTATAAGCTCTATTTTCTTTTCCATAATTTTTCTCCTCTTTGGAGGGACACTTGACTGATTATTGTATTTTATATATATTTTATGCTGTCATTTTCAGTAAGGGCATTGTGTTGGGAAAATTCAGTATTGGAATTGTGATTTAATTGGAGACAGGCATTGATTATATAACAAAGAATGAATTTCCTTACTAGATTTGATGACTTTAGATAGTGCAGAGCCTACAAACAAACATTTCCTGGGGCTCCTCATTTGGTGTGTGTAATAAGCAGACATGATGCCATAGAGGAGGTAAGAGAATAAGGATCAACATCAGCTTCAAGAGAATGGAAAGTACTACTTTGGAGTGTAGGTCCTTAAAATGATGTGGAACCTACCTAAATTTTTATTGGAACAGTCTCTGAATAAATGTTTTGTTAATTTTTATAAGATAACACAGGTGGTAATAGGAATTCAAGAAAGGCTAAACTTGGCAAGTTACATAGATGTTATAAAAGTTGAATAGTTGCTTGAAAATTTCCATTTATTTTATGACTCTGATTGTTTCCTATCCATATTTTACTCTTCTTGAATCTATAGTATAGCCTAGATAAAAACAAAACCATTAATGAAAATATTTGAGATTTTAAAAATCCAAAGAATTATTGGGTTTGAATAATAAACTCACAAAACAGAGCAGATTTTTATGTGGAATCTATAATTCTATTTAGTTTTGTGATCATTTAAAATACTCATTCATTTTGAACTATTTTGTGTGTGTGCTGTAAAATTATATTGCTATTGTTTTTTTTGTTTTTGTTTTTCTTTCCAGTTTCTTGGGGGCAATTACAGTGTGAACTCAGAAGAAGAGTGCATTATTATTATCTCAGAGCAGGTTTTCTCTAGAATATTTTAGCTTCTAAATTATTCCAATGTGTTTAGTTTTGAAAATTAGGGAGGAAGAGGAAGTTGACTCTTATCTTCCCAGTTCTGCTGCTTGTTGGCTCTTCTTATGAAGACAGGTATTACTAGAAACTAGCAACTATTACTTGAGTAAGTCACCTGATCAGATGAGGTTTTTCTTGGTAATAACATTTTATGTTTTTCATGGGTAGATAACTTAATGAAGAATTATATTAATTGAGATTGAGCTGTGGAAAATTTAGTAATGAGTAAAAATCTTAGAAATACTATTAAAACAAGTGAATTATAAAAACCAAATCAAGAGCCACATTTATGAGTTGGAAAATTAGTGAATGTTTTTTCTTTTGTCAAGGTAGATTTATACTAAGTGCTTAGAGCATGAAGCTAAGAAATCAAAATGATCAGTTTCTATTAGAGATATTGATAAGCTGTTATCCTTTGTTAGTAAGCTTAAGAAAATTGTTTCCCTTTAGTGATTAAATGAGATATGGTCTGATTTTTAACATTGTTAGAACTAAGTTCAGTTGGGTTTTGCAACATTATTTGACCCTTTCTGAAAATCTTTATATAATAAAATAGATTTAAATTTTAACTTCATGACATCTCATCAGCTAATTAGATTCTTTGCTTATCTCATAACCTTATTTAAGTATCACAGAGGTAATTTTGTTGATTGCTGCTTTGGAGGTATAAGATGTGTACAAATTCTTATTTGAGATTAAAGATATGTTTTAAGTTCTGAGGAATTTCTAAATCAGTTGACAGGTTGTATTCCAAATGTTGCCTAGATTAACTAGAACAAAGTCTGTATTTCAGAAAGGTGAGTCAGGAATATGGAATGTACAATGATGATATTCATTATGTCCCTGGGAAATTGAATAGGTATTTAAGTTGAAGGAAAAGGATTTTGGTCAGATAAACTTAGAATATGTTGTTTTAAGCAAAGTTAAGCTTTACTGAAGATTTCTCAAAGCTATTAATATTGAAATATTTTTTAAAATTAGATTAATCTTTTAAGTATCTGGTCAGTCATTGATCTTATTTTGTTTTGTGTAATCTTTTCCTCCCTTCACAAAATAATATGCAAGTTCCATGTCAGATAACACATTATTTTATTAATGGGAAGAAGAAAATGTCTTTTTACTCAAGGGTCTTATAATTAAGTCCCACATATGGGAAATTTCATATATGATTAATTAAAATTAAATGAATTTAATTTTGTTTGTTTTTTATTTCAATTTTAATTCCTTAGATTTTGTAGGAACTAATGGGGAAATAAGATAAAAGATAGATGAAATAGAAAATGAGAAAAGGAGAGGAGTAATTAATTCAACAGACTAAATCAGATTTAAAATTTTGTTTAGTCTTTTCTATGAAATGCTTATGGGACTAAGCTTTTGCAAGGTACATGCATATTTATATCTAAACAGATTTTTACAAAATAGATAAGTTGCTTCATTAAAGTCTTCTGGAATTTTTCACTATGGTGTTTTAGAATCTGTCAGTAAAGAGAACTGATCTACTGTCATATCCTCTAATTATGGGAGTCATCTGCAATTTTTTAAATTATTGCTACTTGTGGTTCTGGTCATAATTTGATACTGCTTATTCTTTCACATTTTTCTAAAAATTTGAGACTTACTGGCTCATTTCTACTCACTTGTCAACCCTGTCTCCAGTCATCACTTTTACTTTCCTTCCTAGTTCTGAAGGTTTGACTCCAGAGAGTTGTAGTATGTATCAGAACATACACTGCATACTTTTTCAAGTTTATCCTGTAACTATTCTATACAAATGTCTGTTTCAGATGGAGCAGTTATCAGATGAAGAAATTGACCATGGTGCCGAAGAAGACAGTGACAAAGAAGATCAAGATCTGGACAAAATGTTTGGAGCCTGGCTGGGGGAGCTAGACAAGCTTACTCAGGTTAGAAATAGTGCTTGGAAAACTGGTTGAGGATTTTAAGTCATCAGGGAGTGCTATAAGTTTATAGTATAATCATAAGGTTATGGTGGATATAGGTTATATTTTTAAATATGAAAAGAAAATGTCCAAAACATTAACAAGTAAGTGTCCAAAATGTCCAAAACATTAACAAGTAAATGAATGCTATAGGACAAGATATTATCTTCTTTGATTATTAGAAGAAATTTTAAAATATACTTGTGAATTCTGTTTATCTACAGGGATTACTTAGAATCTCTTTCATGAATTGAGATTGCTGGCTAGAAAGTTTTAAAGACTAAAATCTTAAAGTCTAAATTTTAGCACATCTTATTTCATAACTTAGTGAATTTGAATACTTTACAGCATAAATAATAACTTCATTCATGAAAATATTTTCTATTACACGATTGCAGAGTACTGACAAAATTTCATTCCCAGCTGCATTTTAAAACAGTAGGAAAGCCTTTTTATTTTGTTTTATTGGGGGGTTGTCCCTCAGCCCACTCTGCACCCTCTCCAATCCAGGACCCCTCGGAGGATGTTCAACTGCCTGTTTAGGCCCAATCCCTGTGGACCTAAATCCAGGACTGCTGGCTTCCAACCACTCTCCTGTTTGCCAGCATGATCATCCCCTAACCAGTCTCCTGACAGCCTGGTTGACGCCTAACTGCTCCCCTGCTGGCCTGGCCATCCCCCAACTGCCCTCCCCTGCCAGCCTGGTCACCCCTAACTGCCCTCCCCTGAAGGCCTGGTTCCCCCCAACTGCCCTCCTCTTTAGGCCTGGATGCCCCCAAATGTCTTCCCCTACAGGCCTTGTCACCTCTAACTGCCCTCCCCTGCTGACCTGATCACCACAACTACCCTCCCCTGCCGGTCATCTTTGACCACATTGGAGCGGCCATCTTGTGCAAGGGCATGGAGGTCAATTTGCATCTTACCTCTTTATTATATAGGATGAGTTTTTTGTTTTACTTACTCCTTTTATTTAAAGAATGACATCCTCAAAACCAGGTCACTTTTATAATAAAAAGGTATTCTGTTACTACCCCAGATGATATATAAAGATATGTTTTATTAAAACAACTTTAACTTTATGTCATTGAGAACATTAGAACAAAAATTATTTTCATTCATTATTAATATCTCTGGGAAGAACTTTTATGTAAAATTGCTTAAATTTGAGATTCCTTAACTAGTAAAAAAGTAGGTAGTAAACTGGAAACTTAAAGTACTGGTTTGTTCCTCTCTTTCTGTAACAGTCTAAAATTGAAACCGATGAACTCTTCACATAATTCCAAGAGTAATTCTAAGATCGATAGTTTTGAAAAGCAGACATGTTTGTGACCATAATCTGTTAATGTTCAATTTTGAGGAGAATGCTTTCACTTCTACTAGGATCACATAAGAATCATTCCCTTCATCTCCAGTCAGGGGAAATAAAATTACTTGTTGAGAGAAAGGTCTTATATCTGTAGTTGTGAAGCCATTTCAGTTTAATTCTTAATTTTTTTAAAAAGGTGATTTTGGTGTAGAGATGATGACTAGACTATGCATTTCTATGCTGAGGAGAAAAAGGAATGAGGAAGCAAAATAAAGGAAATCGAAAATGATAATATGTGCCAGCTGACGTGTGGGGTTGCCTTGACTGTATGATTTTATTACTCATACTTGGGAAGGGAGCCAAAAAAGAGAAGATAAGTAGATATCACTCCAGCTGCTCTAGGTGGAGCAGTACTCCATGTTACATGAGCCAGTTACCACAAAGGTTCTCTGTGACTGTTCTTTTTATTATACAAATCCATCTTTAGAGAGAAAGATTTAAAGAAACTCTTGTGTAATGGTGGGTCACTGCTAACAGTTGCTTTTAAACACTTCAGAAATTTTAAAAAATTTTACTTAGTGGCTAAACTTCAAGTTTTTTAATTTATTATTTTAGTTCACTACAATGTGTCTTTTGTGTGCCTATATCACACATACAATGTTAATGTGATTTTCAATTTTATAATAAGTCAGATTTAAGTTTTAAGTGGTTGGTGACACTTCTGAAATCATTTGTAAAATTTGTGTGTATTTGCATTTTTCTGGAAGGTGCATATTTTCAAATTCTCAATGTCTCCCACTCCCAGAAAAAGATTAAAAACTATCCTACTGATTATGAATTTCTTGGCATCAAGGAGTATTTCTTGCTCTTTCCCTTGTTGTCCCAGCACCATGGACACAGCAGACAATTATAATGAATATCTGTTTATTGAAACTGGTAAATAGATGGACTTTTAATAGGTCCTCAATTATATTCAAGTTATTTTACAATAAACATTACCTACCTATTAGTCTTCATTTCCACTGAGAGAAGGAGGCTTAGGGATTAAATTGCAGCAGAAGACTTACGTTTGAGATTAAAGAAGAATTTTCTGGCTGTTCTGTGAAATTTTGAAATAAAGCACTGAATGGTCATAAATGTCCTTTATATGGTGGTTTTAAAACCAGGATGGACACTTTCTGAATGGATTTGTTTTATCTTGAGATAAATGAATAAAGAAACTAGCATTCTACTGTCCAGCATTCTCCTTTATTTGAAATCTATTTGATAATTATAGGTAGAGACTAAAGTTTTAAGACCAATCCCAATATTAGTGAATTTATTTAAATAAATGCTATATATCTACCTACCCTTCCCCTGAATTTCTCTGTTGTAAACATCTTATTTTCCTTATTATAAGAAAGGTTAGAAAAAGTATCATTTAAAAGGTGGTGAGATAACTTACAAGATACCCAAACCTGAAATGTAGTATAATTCTAGACTTTGCACAAGCAGTGTAGCTGGGTTACAGTTTGCCCTCATAGAATTTGAAAAGATCAAGGATATTTCATTATTGTTTAAAGTTGTAGCTACTCTGTTAAGATCTTGAGTCACACTAATTTTGAGTCCAGAATTGTACCATATCTTCAGGGTCCCTCATGCCAGGAATGGTGCTATGCTGGACCTAAAACAAATTACTTTGAAGAAAGAGATAACAGAATTATCTGCATCATTTCTTCCTATTTGTTTTACCATGCCCATATTCATATAACTAGTTTATTTTATAGTAAATTTGTATAAAATGAACTTAATCTCTGTATTTGATGTATTTGGAAAGATGTATGACATTTTTAGTGCCTTCAGTAAGATTATTATCTAATTAAAAAAAAAAAAAACTATCACCAAAATAATATGAAAACCAGTTACTTTTCTGTAAGGCTATTACCTAGAAAAACTTTGGTTTTATTACCTATTCTGTAACAATTCACTTAATCATAAAACAAACTGTATCTTTTGTTGTTGTTGTTAATCCTCTCCCGAGGATATTTTTCCATTGATTTTTAGGGAGAGTGGAAGAGAGAGGGAAAGACAGAGAGAAACATCGATGTGACAGAAACACATTGATTGGTCGCCTCCTGCACAAACTCCAACCAGGGCCTGGGCCTTGGAGGAGCCTGCAACCAAGGTGTGTTCCCTAGACTGGTATCAAACCCGGGACCCTTTGGTCTGCAGGCTGATGCTCTATCCACGGAGTCGAACAGGCCAGGGCAAACGGTATCTTTATATAATTGAAGTGTGGATACAATATGACTTCTCAAACTTTCTTTTTAAAGAGTTTGGATTCTGACAAGCCCATGGAACCAGTAAAAAGATCTCCCCTTCGCCAGGAAACAAACATGGCTAATTTTTCTTATCGCTTCTCCATATACAACTTGAATGGTAAGATGTAATTGGAAATAAAATGTAAAATAGCGTACTAAGTTATATAATGTAAGAGCAGTGCAGCTATAATACCAAGTAGCTCAACATAGAAATGATATGCATAACCTGACTAAGTTCTTATATTTCTTAATTTGTTTATTACTATTTCAAATGATCACAGGAAAAAACAAACTGGAACATAACTAAAATAGTTTTGTAGTTGAGTTATTAATAATTGACAATGTATATACTTGAGTGGAACCTGAAGTTCAGTGAAGTTAGTTGTTAGTGATTTTAAAATCAGCCTTCTCACCTTTATTTACTAGTAATGCCCTCTACCTAGTCAACTTTATAGTATTTGAAATTGATATTTCAATCTGTAATTTTTTAGGCCTTACATTTTGCTTTATGGCTTCAACTTTTTAGGCAACATCTCTACCAGAGCACTGATAATATTAACAACTTAGAGCCTCTGATAAAAAGGTGCATTACGGATGAGGTTAAAACTAGGGACAGTGTACGATTTTTGCATTATTTTTACTTTCAACTTATAATTGTGTTCTCCTCTGATGGCTAAAAATCTTAAAAGATGGACTATTTGCTTCTAAAAAATTTTCTTAGAGTATAAAACAAAAAGCTGTTAAAAATACTCTATTTGAGAGGCTTTAGGACCAATAGGATGAGTTTTTGCTGCTTTCCCTGCATTCATGAACTGATTTATAGTATTATAGAATGTATACATTCTGATTCAGTTCTTCTGGGAACATCATGTGTATTGTTCATTGCAGAAGCTCTGAATCAGGGAGAAACGGTGGATCTGGATGCCCTGATGGCCGATCTTTGCTCAATAGAGCGGGAGCTCAGCAGTATCGGTGCAGGAAACAGTAAGCGTCAAATCACAGAATCAAAAGCCACTCAGAAATTACCTCCTAGCCGACATTCAACAAAACATGGCACCTTGAAAGGATTGTCTTCTTCATCTAATAGGATTACTAAACCATCACATGCCAACTACTCCCTGGATGACATTACTGCACAGTTAGAACAGGCCTCTTTGAGCATGGATGAGGCTGCTCAGCAGTCTGTACTAGAGGATGCTAAGCCTTCCATAACTAATCAGCACAGAAGAACGGCATCCGCGGGCACAGTGAGTGATGCTGAAGTGCGCTCTATTAGTAACTCCTCTCGCTCCAGCATCACTTCTGCAGCTTCCAGCATGGACTCTTTGGATATTGATAAAGTAACACGTCCTCAAGAACTGGAGTTGACACATCAGGGGCAGCCAATTACTGAGGTAGGTAGATGAATTTATTTATTTATTTATTGCTATTTTAGTACTTAAATAGAAAACTTTTTAAATATAGTTTTAAATAACTTTCTTATTTCCTCTTCATTTAAAATTTGCCAAGGATACCTCTGAGCTAAGTTTTAAAATCATTACAAAAGGTGTAGTATTACCAACTATGGCAATGTCACAAAGATGATTAAGACTCGCAGGAGTCCTCAAACTTTTTAAAGTGGGGGCCAGATCACGGTCCCTCAGAGAGCTGGAGGGCCGGACTATATGAACTACTGATTCCTACTGTAACACCTCGGCTGCGCTCACTGCCCAAAAAAGCTGGCGGGCCGGATCAGACTCCTCTGCAGGCCGCATGTGGCTCGCGGGCCGTAGTTTGAAGACGCCTGATTAAGAGGATATTTAGTTTCTTCATTTTTATTCTTGTGACAATTTTGAAGTGTTTGAATTGATGTTACTTATTTCACATTAATAAAAAAAATTTGAAATATGGCCCGACCAGCATAGTTCAGTGGTTGAGCTATGAACCAGGTCATGGTTTGATTCCAGGTCAGGGTACATGCCCAGGTTGCGGCCTCAATCCCCAAAGTGGGGCATGCAGGAGGCAGCCAATTAATGGTCTTCTCTCTGTCATTAATGTTTCTATCTTTCCCTCCCACTTCCTCTCTGAAATCAATAAAAATATATTTTAATGGAAACAAAACAAAATCTTGAAATGTGGGGTTTTTTGACATTTGCAAAGTTAGTATGGTTCATAAGCTGATAATAATTGCTTAATGTGTATTTATTATAAATTAACAACTTAAGAAATTTTTTAAGACTGATATTCCCATTGTAGTCCTCCAAGATTCTAGTTTTAGAGTTCACTTTATTATTAAAGAGTCAGTGTGGTATACTGGAAATAGCCACTGGGCTTGGAATCAGCAAACTCGGTTCCAAGTGTTTCCATTGCCACTCACTATCCAAAAAAACTAAATGAGTTTATCCAACATCTGTGAACATCAATTCCTCATAAGTAAGAGAAAGCTAATAGTACATGGTCTATCTTCTTGTACAGTGGTTCAGAGAGTCAAAAGGATATAATATGCATGAACAGATTTTTAAAGATGAAGTTTTTCTGGCTGAGGAGAAAGAATAGATTTGTCATAAAATAAGTTTGGAGAAAACTGAGCTTAGTTTTACTGAAGGTGAATTCTAGTGTGTGTGTTTTTTCACCAGGAAGGCAATTTTGTTATCGGGTAGCTATAAGAAAACCAGCCTTCCATTAACTTTGTATGTACAGTGCCCTCTACAAAAGCTAAAATAATCTATTCATGAATAATCAAAATGTAAACCTTATAAAACATTGTTAAAGGAATTGCACAGAAATGTGAAATATATACCTATTGACAGTATTGATTTTCCCCCATTGATTTAATTTGTTAGATTATTTGTTAGATCATTTGGCAACTCCATTTACCTAGCTATGTTTTAGGAAGTGTGGAGCACAAAGGAGGTTTGGATATAAAACAAGTTTTATTGTTTCTAAGGAAATGTATCATTTTATCATGGTGGTTTGGAGATAAATGAGTTTTATTGCTTCTAAGGAAATATATCAGTTTAAAGAATAAACATTTATTTAAAATGAAACTTATCAAAGTGATATATATTCTGTAGAGAACTTTAAATTTCTATCTAATGATACCTGGGGATTACAGTTAGCACCAGCTATTTATTAATATGTCTCATTTATGTATTTTAAATTTACCTATTGGGAAATGAACAATATTTTACTGAGGATATACTTTCTTGGTTTTTCTGTACTTTATATATTTATATTCCTTCTTTCCAATCTTATCATTTTTAATTGAGGCAAGGTGCATGGAAACAGGTTCATCATTCAGGGGTGTGTGTGTATCCATCTGTAACATACCTTCATAAAAGTTCAAACAATAAAAGAGCAAGTGAAGTGAAAAGTCCTCTCCCAGCCAACACTCCACATGGTATCCAGTGGTATGCATGAGCAAGGAAACCAATGTTCAGTGGTATTATGTTTAATGTAAGGCTTTAATACAAGGTTTGGTGAGTAAATGAGGAATAATGCAAGAAATACTCTTTAAAGTCTTTTCTATTCAGCCTGTTCTTTTTGCCTTGTCCAGATGGGTAGAAAAGTAGTTTGCTTCAATATACTTTTTCTGGATGTAGTTTGTTCTGATTCAAGTCAAGAAAACTAAGGGAGTCTATTACTGGGTCCCAAATCCATATATCAAATTATTTCCACACTCATATACAATTAAAACACACACACACACACACACATTAATTTTATATGTATGGAGCTTAAAAAATCAAATGGTTCTATAAGACTTGTAAACAACACTGCTATGTATACACACACTTTTTGCCCTTCAACTCCAACCTTTCTCCCAGTTGATTATATCTCATACTTATTTCAAACAAAATTGGTATTCTATTAATTTCATCTAAATTTTTTCTCTTTTGGAGTCTTTACGCTAGGATCATTCTTAGGTCTTTTCTCCAAAGCAGATTCTTCCAATCCCTTGCCTGGAGGACATATGCCTGGCTCCCAATGCTTTAGCAGCCCATTGGGAAAAGAATGCTTGAGTTGTGGGATGGTCCTCAGTGTTCAGTATGTGATCTTCCATTTAATCCTAGCTCAGAAAGGTTTCTTAACCATAAGTTTATTGACATTTAGGGCTAAAAAATTCTTTGTTGTGAGGAGCTATCCTGTGCATCGAAGGATATTGAGCAGCATCCCTGCCATCTACCCATTAGGTGCCAGTAGTACACACACACCCTCCAGTTGTGGCAACTCGATATGTCTGCAAACATGTTCCCTGTAAGGCAGAATTGTCCTCATTTGAGAATCACTGCTTTAAGTTTAGAGTTAAATGCAGATCTGAGTCCTTTTATTCATGGAAGATGACCTTGGGTTTGCCTTCCCCTGAATTCATTTACTAGAAAAATAATAAATATAAAATGTTTTCAAGCAATATTGTTTGTTGTAAATTGGCCTCTGATTGGTGAGTGCATATGAATCAGGAAGATAGTGAGTGAACTTTAGAAGCTGATGAAAAGTCACAGACCTTGACTTCCTGGTATGCAGTGTGTAACTCTTATAAGTTGGCATGAACACATTTCTTGAGGGGCCATGGAACCTAAACACTCATTATTTGTTACTAAGGGCCCAGTGCACAAATTTATGCACCTTGTACTGTGGTTGTGAGGCTGCAGTGGGCACAGGGGTGGGTCTCAGCCCATCCTCCACTCTCACCAGCCCCTCTGGTTTCCTCTCTGCCTGCAGCCCCGTTCCCACCGCTACTGCTCCCACGTGCTAGCCCCCTCACACCCACTAATGGCATGGAGCGATTGGGGCTGATGCCAGCAGCAGTGCAAGCCTGTGCTGTCAGTAGGTGTGAGCAGTGGCTGCTGCCCCAGTTGCCCCTCAGGAGCAGGGGGGAGGTGAAGAAGCCCTCAGGGGCAATCAGAGCCAGCAACCGCCGCTTGTGGCTTGTGCCCGCTGACGGTGCTGAGCGATCAGCGCCAGGCGCCAGCAGCGGGTGTGAGCAGCAGCTCTGGCGCCAGCAGCAGGGCCAAGCACCGGGCAAGACCACAGCACGTGGGAGCAAAGAATTTTCAGTAACCACCAGAGGCTTATCCCCATGACAGTGACCAGCGCCCCACCTTGGTCTGGCACCCCTGCTCACCTGCTCCACCATCATGCTGCAGCTGACACCCACCATGTTCTGTGCTCTGCAGCCTGCTGCTTTTGCCCACCATGTCCGCACATGCCCCCTGGTCGTCAGCACACATCATAGCCACTCACTGTTCGGCCATTCAGTCCTATTTGCATATTAGGGTTTTATATATATATAGATAATGTACTAGTTCCTGTGGAGCAGGAAGTTTTTCTAGCCATGTGATTCTGTACTTATCCCACATGATGTCTTTCTCTTAACAATGGTTGGTCCAAAAAAAAAAAAAAAACGCTGGTAGGCTGTATAGATACCTTCTTAAGATAGTACATCTCATACTAATGCGCTGTCTTTGTCTTCCTGTAGAACTAAGTGAGCCTGGTGCCAAGCTTTGTACGTTAGATTCCACATATGAGTGAGATCAGCAGTCAATATCAATCTGAACCAGAGATTGCTGCTGGTTGGTGAATAAAGGAGGGAATCTGAGAATTAACTGCATTCTTAAACGCTTTTAATCAATCCTCCTGCTTTTAGTTCTACCTGCATTTTCTGCTTCTGGAGACTTTTAAGATCACATAATGTAAATTGGGGTGCTCCTCTACTTTTCTCCAGCACTGGCTTAGCAGTCAGCTTTTCTTGGGCCTGCTGAGTTGGTTATCACTCTGCCATATGCTTTCTAGATTCTTTTTTCTCTTTCTTTACTTTTGTTGAAATACTGTGCTTCCAGGCACTTCACATATGTTATCTCATTTAAGGCTCCCATATCCCTTTGGTAGGGGCATTATTCCAAAGAAGAGATTAGTTAACTGAGAAATCTGTATTTGAATTTCAAAACTAAACTTTGGCCTTTCAATTTTTATCTATTTTAAAAATAAAGAGATGCTGATTGTTAACAATAATTATTTCCAGAATGTTAAAGAATGTTTAGCATAAAAGTATTTTTCATGGATAAACATAAAAATGAATTCTAGAATAATTTCAGTCAGTATTCTTTTTTATTTTTTAAATTTATCTTTATTGTTGAAAGTATTACAGATGCCCCTTTTATTTTCCCCATTAACCCTGCCATTCTGCTCCCGTCCCCTCCCTGGGCCTTCACCACAATATTGTGTGTGTCCACGGGTTATGCATATAAATTCTTTGGTTAATCTTTTCCCAGCCCCTCACCTCTGTAATATGTCAGTCTGTTGTATGCTTCAATGTCTCGGAATCTATTTTGTTTGTCAGTTTATTTTATTAATTAGATTCTGCATGTGAGATCATGTGTTACTTGTCTTTCTCTGACGGACTTTTACTTAGCAT